TTTTATGAAATTGTTATCGGGTTATAATAAATAATTTAATAGTGTGCTTCAAATACTTTATTATTAAAAAATATGAAAATTTTTACTTAATTATAAATTTTGTTCAAAGTGACGGCCTTGAACATTGAGACAGGCTTGACATCTGCCTTTGACGGTAGCAGTGGCAGAGCGGCACTGAATAGCTGTAATTGTTTCACATGCTTGAATAATTCTTCCTTGTAATGAATTAATGTCATTAACCGGCTTTTCGTAGAATTTTTGTTTAATAGTACCCCAAGCAAAAAATCCAATGGTCCGTCAAATCCGTCAAAGATAGATGTCAAGCCTGTCTCAATGTTCAAGGCTGTCACTTTGAACAAAATTTATAATTAAGTAAAAATTTTCATATTTTTTAATAATAAAGTAATTGAAGCACACTATTAAATTATTTATTATAACCCGATAACAATTTCATAAAATTTTATAATGAAAAAATGTTTAGATGTCAATATCTCTTAAACAAAGCGTTTACGGGCATGTCTCCAGAGGAAAGTTTTTTCTTGTTTTGAGGTCCTAAGTTCATATTTTAAGTTAGGACACTTTACCCTGAAACACCCTGTATAATAGTATATAATATATAAAAGTCAACCTAACAAGCGTCAGCTTATCAAACAAAAATTCTATGATGTAAATTATTACATTTAACTATGATAGAAGAAAACAAATTTAATTTCTTGGAAACCATTGAAAGTCCTAAATCGAGCAAATTTAATAGATTATTTACTAATTGTAGGCATTGACTATTCTTAAACAATTATAATATTGAAAAAATTCAATTATTTCAAAGCTATTAAAGAGTAAATTTAGTGAGTCACTGAATTTCTGTAAATTAAATAATTGTGAGCACTCTTTAAAATGTCAAAAATTTTAAAAATGCCGAAATAAAAAATCAATGGGCTTGAATATTTTTAAGGAATTGGAATTTTTTCAAATATCAAGTATCTTAAAACTAAAAATTCTGAACGTTCTTAAACAATTGCATTCTTTATAGCATCAATTATTATATTTTATCAAAGACACGTTGGAAACCTGAAAGAATTGAAACGTCATATCTACGTATCTGCAGTAATTCGCTAATGTAACGTGCGATACACAAATATTTCTTCGACGTCTGCGATGCTTACAATTGCTGTAATAACGCGGAGTAGCAATGCGATTTCGTTATGCATCTTTGATCAGCCCTAGCTTTGAGAAGCTGATTATGTTGTGGCCGCGCGATGTCATAGCAACCACCAGCGTGTAAACCCCCGGCGTTGGTAGCAGTTTATTCGCATTCGTGTTGCAATGCCGTCGAATTGGTGAAGCTTTTCCGGAAATGTCGTTGTTCAAATCGAAAGAATGGTGGAGGACACAGTGCGGAATGAACGAGTCGTTCGACAGACGCAGCTTGCTGGTCCTGCCGTTGTTCAGTGCCGACCGAAAGGACGTCGTCATTGTCGGCAGCCACAGCGGCTACCTTCGGATATACAGCCCGTCCTCGCAATGGGTAGACGAGACCAAGTCGCCGAGCGGCTATAAGTCCTCAGACCTCATCATCGAGACGCAAATCGGTGACTGTATCATCGACATGAAGGCAGGGAAATTCGTCTCGTAAGTGAGATCGCGAGATTTACGAAGGTGAAAGGATTATTAACGCCGCGAAGAATTGCATGTTTTTAACCCTGGAACGTGTAGACTCGTAATGAAGATTTAAAAAAGTCCAGATAACAGAAAAATAATTTCAACAGGTTGAAATCAATGTCGAAATGAAATAAAAACTGATCGACAATAAGAAAGAAAAAACAAAGAAAGGAAATTAATAATTACAATAAGTAATTATTGTAAAATTCTGCAAAGACCTATTTTAAGTGCAGCCTAAAATCACTCATTTAGTAAAGGCAAGTTCGCTATTATGAGACAGGCTTCTAATATGAGATAGATATGAGCTGCTAAATTAATTTATTGTCCTTGAAGTGAAATCTGTTTAGTAGAAAATTAATTATTAGATCATGTAATCGTTGCGAAAAAAGATTTGTGATTGAATTTCAACATTAAAAACCTATTATCTCACATTAGAATCCTATCTCATAATAGAGGACTTTCCTCTATATATGTACATATTTTCTAATGATATATGTTTCTACATTTTGTACATACATAATAGTGAATAAAATTAGACAAATGTAATCTAAAAATAAATATATAACGAGGCGAAATCTCTGTTGATACCTTGCGGAAACTTCACAGTGTTATTCAATATTTAAAGTAGTTAATAAAATCATGTTTTTAAAGTCATCTTCAATGAAATAAATGCATTTTACAACATTATTTACTTGTTAATGTTATCTCTGCTGATACCGATCGCATTGATCTGTTTCAGAGGCTCGCAAGATACACGACTCGCGATATTGACATCGAAGAAACTTGTCATTTACAGCGTAATATTGAGCCAAGGCTCCGTTGAGCACGGTTTGTATCGTACACATAATATATTAATTATATTAAACAGTAAAATAAGAAGTTAGACCGCGCCTGAACATATCTGTACTTTTATAACTTTCCAACTTTCCTGTTCTTCAGTTTCTCATTTAAGTAATTTTACAAGTCTTGTCCCTTTGTTGATGTTAATAAACGATACGTTTCAAGATGCGACGCGCCTAGACAGAAAACGAGCCATTTTTCTATCGGCCTTGACTTGAAGTTACAAATGCGTTGCACTTAACGAAAGCGAAAACCAAGCAATATCGCCGCAGGAAATCGCCGTCGCGATTTTTCTATCCCTTCAATTAGACTCCGGAATCACAATGCGCCGCGTGTTATCGGAATATTAATTTCAGTGTCGCGACAATAACATTAATCGCGCGAATGAAACAGCCTTCGGGAGAGATGGGCAGCGCGCGGCCATAGCGACTAACAAGATCGAGGGAACGTGAGGCCCGCGCGTGTGCAGGTCCGATTGGAATTCTCGCGAGAAACCTGACTTTAAGAATGGCTCGCTAATTAGATTTTGCAACTGCAACAAGCAAGTCTGCGAATATGTCGAGCATACATTTTCATTTCATTGACACGCCTCATAATCACCTTATCAATATCTCCCGTTATTGGCCGCAACAACTTATGTTACGACTATTAATACACTTGTCGTTATTACAAGCATTATCATTTTTGTTGTCCCCATTAACGTTACATTATTATTGCTGTTATTATAATTCTTAAGTTCGAGGTGTAATTTATATATTTGCGAGAGGAAACGTGTAATTATTTTTCATTCGGTCTTGAAGAAGCCCCCCAGGCCCCGAGGCGGCAATCCCGTAGACCGTCTCCTGAGAGCCGGTCCCGGCCGCGTAGATAAAACGACGGCGAGCGGTGTGTGCAGCTGCTAACGAGCGCTACGAGCGCGCAAAGATCCACGGCGATGAGAGATGGAGTCGCGCGCGCCGCGTCGACGATATCTCGCGATAGCTTATTGCGGAATGATTTTCATGCGATATCGAACGGCAGCTCGTGTACAAGTCATGTAAGGTCGATAGCGTATCTGTTTGTTTACAAGAACGTATACCCTGGGAATCGCCGATGCCTTCCCATATGAATTTAGGCGCCGGTAGGACACACGTGCATTGTCCCATGTATGTGTATGCAAAACGTGCAAATGTGTCGATGTGTGGCATAAATTCGTGTGGGAAGGTGCATCGGTGATTCCTAGTGTCTTATTCATTAATGCCTGTTACACGCTGTAAAAATACTACATGTAAAATTACAATTATTATAGCGGATAATATTGGAATCATCTGTTAAAGGTGCTCTGGGAAAAGAAAGACAGTTACAACCCATTTTCGGGCCCACCATTAGTAATCGAATTACTTGGATTATTCGTAACTCTACTCTGGGAAAAAGTTTGACCGTTTTTTGTTGTAGTTAAGCAACTTAACATTTCGGATCGACAGAACTAATTGAAAGAATAGATAAGTGTTACTTAAAAATCTTGGATATATTGTAGATAGAATAGCTAATTACGATTTTTAGTTTTCGCGGGGTAAAATTTGGAAAAGATTAAGAGGTACGAACAATCCAAATAATTCGATTACTAATTGTGGGCCCCAAAATGGGTTGCTGTCTTTTTTCCCCCAGAGTAGATATTCGTACATATCATTCCGTTGCTCCAATAACGCGTCACTGCACGTATCCGTGAGCAAAAGCTAATCTCACGCATGGTAGACTATATTTCGGAAATTTACAATATCATAAAACGTCGGCCAACCCTTCTGACCACGACTGTACAGCTTGAAACTCGGCGATTTGTATAAATGCGAAAAATGATAATAAAAATACAGGTCCACGCATTAATGAACGAGACTGTACATTTGTACGGTGAATCGACAGTGGCTGCCGTCGAAATTTGTAGAATTATCGATAAAATTGCGAATCCGTCGGTCATTACGCAAAGATCAATGTCGTACGAGAATGTCGATAAATTATTACGAATTACGTATGTCGGTTGTTACGATATCCTTGCAGAGGCTATCTATCGCGGTATATATGAAAAATTAATCTCGAGTCTTTTCCTCTCGTAGACGATAGTGAGATTTTGAAGTGTCAAGCATGTCTGTGGTGTCGCATTTAATTCTAAAAATTCAAATATCACGTCTAACACTGAAAAATTTCCCCCAAGCATCCGTTTATCGGACACTGTCTCAGAGTTCAAACCTTTTTTCACAATGGACCAATATACGTTCAGACTCAACTGGTATTTAGCGCTGAATGCGGAGCACAAATATGGACCTGTGTGTGTTTATGCCAATCGGTCAATCGTGCGATATCGCATATCAAAGTACAGAAACGCGTCGCGCAGTCTCGCTCATTACAATCGCGTACGATCGAAACCTCAAGTACGCACGATAGCGCTACGCGTCTCTTTTTCTCGACGTTTCCTCCATCTACACAAATTTACGTAACGTCAGGAGACTTTTTTTTTCAATTTCCTGCAACCGCCTCGACTGGTGCACGTTTTCCTCATGCATTTGTGCGATTTGAAATTAAAACGTCTTTGAAAGATCAAGGAGGGAGTCGGATCAGACAAATTTGACCCTAGAACGCCATGTGAGGAATATTTATCCATTAATATTCACGATGTACGCGGTTCTACACATAATACGGAAAATTACATAAGCGCCGCGGGGAAACATATGGATTGGAATCTAGTCTGGATTATCGGAAACTTACACAATCCTCATGTAATATGTGATACTATTGTGGTAACATATAATAATGTTACGATCTAGAGTAATCTTTGTCGGGGAAAAAATACTAAATTGTACACTGCACACTGAAAAATTCTTTCACGTGCACCTTGTGCATTTGATACCCCAAGCCATGAAAAGTCTCGCTTTCTCCTTCTACAATTTCCATTGTTAAATATATCAAATCAAAGTAGAATTAAATTTATTCGCCGCTTAAAACCAGCCTCCGTGGCCGATAAAAAAGTGCTTGCCGGTCAAAATGATCTGCCCGGCCGTTCCAATGTTAAAGACTGCTTTCGCGGCGCGATCCGGGATCGAGAGAGACGCCTCGAGCTAGTATCTCGTTAAATCCAGCCGATATTAGACGCGGCAATAACAACCAGCGTTTCGTAATAATTCGCAAGCGCCGTTACGACGTCGAACGTGTTACGTCTTACGTCGTTGAGCGCGCACAATTCTTTTTCTTCGCGCGCGAAGCGCGCGATTCCACCCGGGGGCGGGCGCGGAACGGAAAGTGAGAACGATTATCTCCCTCGATGAAAAACCGTCCACAGTCGATTTCCGCTCCGACCGCACGCTCGCACACGGGAAAACGCAAATTACACGCGCGAGTCATTCTCACATGCGCAAGTTGTAACTGTCTGATTCATTTCTTTCGCGAGAGCGTCGCGTCTACTTCCTGACGCCAGGCAGGCGCCGCCAATTTTCGTATTATCCTTTTCATTTTCACGGCAAACAATTTTCTTTGATAAGTGTTTTCTTTGATAAGGCAAGAAATCGTCAAACCTTTTAAACTCGAGTGTCAATTCTTCAACTTCAAGTTAAGGGATTTCACATATTAATTAATATAGCCCCATCAGGGCTTGTGAACACAAGGATGATTGTACTACTTTATCCATTTTGTTAAAAGTAAAATTTTATTTGCTTCATCCAATTTTTCATACTTTTAATTTTTCTTCTGCTTCTCTCTCTTTCTCTCTCTCTCTCTCTCTGTTTGTCTCTAATTTTAATGTAATAAGAATATAATCGTACATAACCGACCTGATTTGATGTCGAAGTAAAAACCGCTTCTCTGGTAAAAGTGCGGAGCGATTCTTACCGGTTCTAACGAATGACGTCCTTGCGATTGAAAAAAATTCAAGGAACGCATCCCTTCAAGTGCACTCATAAATATTACGCAGCGCTAATTTTTATGTGACAAGAATTATCCTCCCTTCCTTACATATCTTTTGTCATTTTTAGTATTTCAAATTTTGTTCTCGTCCTTTACCTTTATCTGAATAAAGGGAGCACGTTTGTTTGTACTTTGCGCTCACCTCCTTCTGGCACGCTCATTAGAACGCTGCCGTTGTGATGTATGTGCTCTGTAAAACACTGATCGCTCTCTCGTCCGGACGCTCAAACGCGACCACGATGAATTGCGGCCTGACCTATATACAGACAGGAATCGCGATTGTTCGCCGTCTCGGGCCGCTTGTCTAGCGCCGCCCGAGCTCGCACATCAGTCTCGCATATTTATTTCTTCAATTAACTGCAACGTGTATGTCTACAGGCGTATACATATAATCGGCCTGATTTAATGCCCAAGTAAAAACCGCTTCTCTGGCAAAAGTGCGGGGCACAATTCTTACCAGCGCTGACAAATGGCGTCCTTGCGATTGAAAAAATTCAAGGAACGCATTCCTTCAAGTGCACTCATAAATATTACGTAACGCGTGATAAATAGAGTCTTAAGCCGCGTTGCAATATATTAATAGTTCCGATATGCAAAAGCGAGGAAGAATACGCACGGAATAAAAAGGTTGTTACATAACGAAATTTTTGTTACGGAGATATTTTATGGATAACCGCCGAATTGGTCGAAAGAATTGTGACTAAGGTGAGAGACGGTAAATCTGATAAATTGCATAACCGTTGCTCATCGTGCGTTATTACAATCTAAAATCCGAACACAAAGAAATCTGATAATTTCTTCATCACGTCTCCCTGGCTAAAACAATAAAATAAACGGATTAGTCGAAAGATTCGGAAATTCTGCTTTCTCTAATTTCAATATTGTTTAAAATTTCCAATTTTAAGCTCTTTTATGTAGAGAAGAGTCCCCTATTACGAGATAGGCTCCTAATATGAGATAGCGGGGGTTTTTTTTTGCTAAATCAACAGACATCGTCTGTTGGCTCCTTCGTGATTTTATTGGAGTGAGATCTGCGAAAAATTCATTGTTAGATCGTGCGTGTAATTGTGGCAGAAAAGATTTGTGAAATTGAATGCTGGGAACCCGCTATCTTATATTAGGAGTCCCATCTCATAATAGGGTACTTTTCTGTATAAGCCGAGTTACTTTAACCGCTACGTCCCATTACATCCTCGCAGGGGACCACTGCGGCCTGGAAATCGCTTACGAGCACTTGCTACCGCGATTTCCGGCGTCCCTGACGACGGGGCCGTTTGGCGGCGTGCGGGGTCGGGACTTCCTCTGCGTTCAATGCCTGGACGGCACGCTTCTCTTCTACGAGCAAGAGACTGGCACCTTCAGCCTGGTTCTCGGGAATCGGTTGCTGCCAGAGCCGATCGTCTACGTTTCGCGGAACGACACGTTCGTGACGCCGAGCTCCGCGTGGATCCTCGAATGCTACAGGCAGGTTGTTCCACCGTGTCGTTCCGAGTAGCCCGTCAATGAACACCTGCTGGTGTACAGATAACGCGGCCGCGATGTATCGGATTGCAGCCTCGTCTTTCAGGATTATGAGCCGAGAGGGTGAATCAAGAGATATATGATTCGTTATCACTAGACTCGCAATAGTGATGGGAGAGAAGCTTTTCATTATCAAACAATTCAAGGGTCTCTTTGGAACGCGATACACGCAAGAAGAATATAAATTAACATATCCTTCAAAATAATTTTCAATTATTTGTACAGAATCTCCAAAACCGATTCTCGATATTGCATATTCTAAACGCTGTGACGATAATATTTCAAAATTAGTTATGCGAAAAGAAGAAAATCATTTTATTAAGGCCACTGTGTCCACGATGCTTGGTCCAAGTTCTAGTTTCGAGAAATGTGTATAGCTAATCAACTTGCAGCTATTCTATAAAAGCAAGACCTAGAACTTGGACCAAGTTCCAGCATCGTGGACACAGGTCTTTAGAAAATTTGTAAGAAAGCATATATCTCGCATTACCAAATTTCGACGCGCGTTTCATATATCTTACGTTAGTGAGTAGTAACGCAATAAAATTATCGCGGATATATATGTGTCCTTTTCGCGCAGGTATAAGAGCATGGCGGAATTTGGAAGTAAGGATCGCTCGGAGGAACCGAGGAATCTAGAACCGGACTGGAGTTACAATATCGGGGAAGCCGTTCTCGATATCGATGCCGTTACCTTGAGCAGCTTCGAGGTCGGGATTCTTGTGCTCGGCGAGAAGAATCTGTATTGTCTGAAAGACAATTGCGTCACCCTGAAGTACGCGAAAAGGCTCGAGTACAAGGCGCTCTGCTTTCAAGCTTATGTGATAGGTAAATGACGGATTTGGGAGCTTTGGGAAAGAGAAGAGAAAAGGGGCAATTCAAATTTTAATCCCCCTGTTAATCCCTTCGAAGCACTTTCTCCCGAAAGGAGGAAAACGCGAGAGTGAGACGGACAAGTGGAGGAGAACCACTCGGGCTAGTAGCTGGCGTGCGATGCGACACGCCTAATTAACTATTTTACTACGGATAGAAAATAAGTGCTAATTGAGCGCGATGCTTGTAGAACCGGATGGCAAGCTGATGGTGCTCGTAATCGCTGACACAAACACCTTGATGATTTACGAGGGCACGACTCTTAAGTGGTCAGCTCAGCTGCCTCTTACTCCGGTCGCCGTAACTCGAGCGCATTTTCAGGTAACCGATTGCATAATTCTATAACTCAGATTCCTGCTCCGCACGGCATTTCACGGGTGTTACCTCGTAGGGAACGGCATTCAGAAAGGAAACGTAAAGAAAATCTAACATTTTTCCTCGATCCTTTCGAAAGGGCCAAATTTTTGTCACAACGGTTTCCTATTGAAGTTGTGTATTACAGCGAATAATTGTTACTAAAGGTTTAATTAATTTGAATTGTAACATTGACATTAATCAACTGGGGGACGTAATGCGTTACAATATATTTCACTACACTGAAAAAAATTTCTGGTTGAATATGGACGAATCAAATAATTCCTTTAGGATTTACCAGAATTCCTGTAATCCTACAGAAATTCTGGTAAATCCTAAAGGAATTCTGGTAAATCCTAAAGGAATTATCTGATTCGTCCATATTCAACCAGAAATTTTTTTCAGTGTACGTTACCTCGTAGGGGACGGCATTCAGAAAGGAAACGTAAAGAAAATCTAACATTTTTCCTCGATCCTTTCGAAAGGGCCAAATTTTTGTCACAACGGTTCCCTATTGACGTTGTGTATTACAGCGAATAATTGTTACTAAAAGTTTAATTGATTTGAATTGTAACATTGACATTATTATAATCAACTGGGGGATGTAATGCATTACAATATATTACACACAATAGAATAGTACCACTATTAGTCTGTTAAAAACTGTATCACTTATTAATCGTCTTGCAAGGAGCGACGATATGCTCGGCATATCGTTTTTAAGAAAGAAACTTTAATTAAATTCACAGCGAAGATTACATTAACGATAACCTATTCAGCCTTATGTTACTTTGCCATTTCGTCGTTGCTGAGGGTATCGAAGTGATACAACAATGTAACGATGGTCGCTATGTCGCATCCGACGAGAAAACTATTAATCTTTAGTAATGAGAAAAGACTAGGAAAGAAAAGTTCGAAAGACAACGATAATTCTTACCAAGGCATCCTGGACAAGTCTCATTCGGACAAGAATATTGAATAGCGACATAAAAAAATATAGGAACATTCTTTTTAGAAGAGAGGGGGGGGGGGAGACCTCGATGGAATGCGCATCTACATTCACCATGATAGTCCGCAATCAGAGCCGATGACATTTGACAAAGAAGCGAGCCGAGACCTCTGCTATATCGGTGTATCCTCTTCCGTGTCACATTATCGACGCCACCAGCCATTGTTTCTCTGACAACGTTATGTCAGGCACGGTCTATCGTGTCCTTGCTGCCAGAAGCCTCTTCGGTGTAACTTCTAACTTCGTATTTTAAAGAAACGAACGCGGAGTTGGGAGCGATCTCTCGAGCCTCTACGATAAATCTTCTAAAGTCTGCTTCGTTTTTCTCTATAAGAGATTTCGGAACATTGCAAAATAAAACTGTATCTCGGCAAAATTCGGTAATGGGGAAAGAATCGATGCAAATCTTGGGTAAAAATTTTGCAAGAAATACCTGTCTGTATCTGCCACTGCAGATTCCAACATTAATTGCGGCCGTGTTCTGCTGGCTTCTATTTGCCTTCTGCGAAGGCCGCGTCAAAGGCTAACATAAAATGATGATCAAATTGCTCAAGAACATGTTTGACCATCTTATGGATTGTTCGTTTAGGAATTTTTGAGACCGCAAGACCGGGGAGAAAAAAGGAGCGAAGATAAATGTGAAGAGCTCGCGTGGCGATGACGATAGAAAGAAACGCTCAAGGCTTTTAGCATCGGCATCGGCAATGAAAGACCGACCGGGAAAGGAAAAAACCACAAGAGTGCAGGGAAGGACGAGGAGTCGGCAATTATCACCCTGGTTTTATCTTATCGTCCTGCCGCAGCTAGCGCGCGGCCAGCAAGGTTGCCATTGTTGTCTTTCCGGAGGACACAGAGCGCGCGAATTGCTGGCTAATTAGCTTAATACCGAGAACTCCGCTTCGTTAATCAGCGAACTATCGCCGCGGCAACTGGAGTTGTTCCGCGTATACGCGCCGACACGAGAAAACGTTTAGAAAACGCCTAAATCAGCCGGACGTCAGTGTGCTATGAAAATAGCGACGAACGATAATTTTTATCTTATCTCGCGCAATGACGAAAAGCAGAAATAGCCTTTCAGTTCGCCGCTGTGGAAAGAATCTGCGACAAGCGTTCGAACCAAAGTCCTAAACAAACACACAAAAAGATCTAATGCACTCTTCTTGAAAATGAAGAGAAACCAAAGTTGTGATCTGCGTATACGCGTTGCCGCGGTCAAAAGTACACGGTCGTACTCTTTTGAATTTTTAATGTCAGTTCACTTTTACGGACAGGTCTTTCATTTAGTTCTCATATTGCTTTTGCACATTCGCGGGATAATAACTGTGATGTGCGGACCATTCCAGGTTTCCCGCGGCTCTTCTTTTCTTTATCTACGGTTTCTTTGATCAATTTGGGGCTGATTTCTCCTTTTGCGGCGTCGCGGCTGTAATTTAGAGCTTGATATTTCTTTTTTTAGCACTTAGACGGAGTGATCGTCGTTCTCTCCGAAGAGGGCCAGCTGGAGGCTTGCTACTTGGGTTCGGAGCCATCATTATTTATCGCGCCTCCTCTGCATCGACGCGGTTACGATTACGTAGCCGCCGAGGATGAGCTCATGGAGCTCCGCAAGCTAGCGAAGAGAAATAAGGCTTCCGGTATGAATAAAACGCAAATCAATACACTTGTGACAATCATTAGCGGCACAAATCCTGTTTGCCGTCTACAGACGATGGTGTACTATCGAGATTTTCTCCGAACTCCAAGTCCATTTCGTAGTTAAATTTAACAAATTAAGCCTCTGTTACTGACATTAATTATCTTGTTGAAATTATAAGGCAACCAGCTCAGTGACGTCAACATGGACGCCGAGTTGATAATATCCGTGACCGTGTCCTCGGACCTGGAACCCTGTCCACGCGGAAACCAAGACGACTCGAAGGACGACTCGGAGGGTCGTAATTTTATGTGCAGGATCACCATAGAATTGTCCACGTACACGACTCTACGCGACGTTCAAGTATGCGTGGACGCCTCGAAGCCGTTCGTCGCCGAGAAGGATCGCCACGTTATTACCAATCTTTGTAAGCGAGTCACGTAAAGTTACGTATTTACGGCGCGAAGTCTCGGGCAAGAGAACAGCGGCACCGGGACAAAATTAAAACGCGGCGCGTGAGAAATGGGACGACGCCGTTGAAGAGAAATGCACATCAGTTGTGCTTTCCATTTCTCGCAATCGAGACGGCAAAATTGCTAAAATACCGACACAATAGCGGCTAATTTGTTAATGTCACTTTGTTAATTGATCGTCCGAAGGTGACCGGCACATTTTGCGCACGACCATCTGCGCGACGACGGATCTGCCGGCGATGTCGTCGGACGTGAGGATCACGGCGAGCTACGAGACGGCGGATCGTGGGAGCCTGCGCGTACTTCAGAAGACGGCCCAACTGCCTCTGAAGATGATGCTGAGGGCCTGCCCACCCGAGAACACGTCCACCTTCACGGCGACCATCAAGTGCAGCGAGCCCCTCGTGGCTTTTAGCCAGCTGTTTCCCGGTAATCCATCGGCACCGTCGTTTATAATGCCCTCATCCCTTCCGCTTCTCGCGACCAGGGCTGCAACCGCGATAAAACTATTCCCTCGAATCTACCGTTGACATTTTTCTGCGGTTTCGCACGATAAAAACGATACGGCAAACTCCGCACGAGCTCCCCTGCTTCATTTTATTAAAATTAAAAAAGATTATCTACGTTAAAACCCTTGCCGAGGTGTTATTTTTCGCAATGGACTTTAAATAAAAATTATCTAGACACTAACATCCTGCCTTGGCTCTCACTCCTTTACTATATTCGGGTTTTCACATTAGAGTCTTATGAAGTTTATTAATTGTTTAAAAAAATTAGGTATTGCGGATATGGTATTGCATCAAGATCGAAATACCTCTTCCTGAGGATTTTATTTTGCTCCCACGGCATTTATCATGGAGTGATCGGTGAAATTATGTCAATTTTTACGATCCTCTTTGTCACAGGAAACAATGTTAATAAAACACTTATCACTTTAATAAACTGGATGTGCATAAGTCACTTGATATGGCCGCAATTATGTCTTCGATGCGATAGAAAAATTTTACGTATGGTGTAAAAATTGAAGAATGCCGTGGAGAAATTGGCTGCTTAAAGATGCGACATTATAGACCGCAGCTTTGCGTTGCCGCCCTGTTGGTCCCATCGCCGTAAACGATTTCCTAAAAACTCACGGATTCTTTTTACTCCCACTGCCTCGTATTTCGTCCCGCTGTTCCCCGTCGGAAATTACGGGCTAGGAAATGGTGGATAGAGAATTAGGATGTCTCGTTTGCGAACGGCGATATTAAGGAATCCAGTCTCTCTCTCTCTCTCTCTCTCTCCCTCTCTCGTTCGTGGTTTAAACGCGCGGCATCTCGGCCCACCTAATACGATAATCAGACATCAGCGGGCCCCGGGAACCTTACCCGGACCTCTTCAATCACGGCGCATGTTCTTCCTTTTATCGGCCCCTCGACTTTAAGCCCGGCACACCTGGTAGATTCGTAATTTAAAGTCGGTAAAATTCTCGTTAAGTGAATTCCTTCCCTCCCATGAGACCGCTCAGGATCAAAAATATCAATCATAAAAATATCAATGTCTTAGTACGTGACATCTGACATGGAATACAGATAATATCCCCGAATTATCGACTGTAACTGTCGTTACAAGTATTTCAACAAATTCCAAACGTTTGGAAGAAAAATGTCGAAAGATGTTATTTCTCGCATTTATAAAGTTAAATAAATCGATTGTCTCGGTCATCAAAATCTCGCTAAATAAAGATAGCGGAAAAGTAAAAGTCCTCTGAATTCAACCGAACAATTTAATTTGCTTATTTAACTGTTTCCTCAACGAGTACGCGCGAAGATTTTTATTCTTTGCAGAGTTCACAGGGGACATACAGAGGCAAAATTGGAACGCGCTCGGCTTGCAGCACGTGCAAACTGGCAGCGTGGTGACAATAATTTCTGGAACTACTAGCAATCGATACCGAGTGCAGTCCAACGACGGGCTTTCGATGGCCTTGGTGGTTCAGCAGCTGGTGAATAGGCTCAAAGACAAGGCCACCGGAAATTTTACGACCGCCATCGCGCAAAATCACATACAACTGGTCCAGTCGCAGATGGAGGCGCACTATCGTAGTCGCCAGGAGGCGGACAAAATCGCGGTAATTTCAATTGTTTAAATGAGACTTTAACGCACATGTAACGCTACCTTATCTCTAGTTCAAATTTATTTCTAAACACTTCTCTCGCGGTTCTTTCAACTTTGACTTCAACTTTCATCTGTCACCTTGAAAAAATTAGAGCTTCGATGAATTATGAAAATTCCTTAAAGATTTCACGTAGATATACGAGAATTCCCAAAATTCTCTCTCTCTCTCTTCTTCAGAATGCTTTTTTTTGTTCGCAAGTACAGATTGAGATCGGGCTGCTGTCGACCCAGTTGAGAAACATCGAGAGGAGGATGCTGCGCGCCGTGAGGGAGCGGAACACCCGGTCTCTGGCCACGACTGGACTGCCGTTCCTCTTGGAGTCGACCTATCGCGCGATCTTCGCGCTTCTGGATGATCTCGCGATCGCACGAACGGTAATTGACCAACGTCCTTGCCTCCTAACAACTGGTCCTCTTCCCTTTATAGCGTACTCGTTCGCTCTAAAGGCCTGCGTCCACGAATGCTACAACTTGGTCCAAGTTCTAGTTTCGAAAAACGTGTAGCCAATCAACTTGCAGCTTTTTTGGAAAAACTAGAACTTGGACCAAGTTCTAGCATCGTGGACACAGGCCCTAAGATCGATCGTAGTCTTTAATCAGGTTTGCGTTGAACCGAAGCTCGATTTCACAAGTTCACATTATCAAATTGTTGAAATAATTCGAAACCGACACTTTGGTTCTCATAAACCAATTTTCATTCATACCTACGTAGCTAGTAGTGTCTAGCTTCTATTTTTTAATATTAAAAAAGATTAAAGCAGTGCACTATTTGTACACTGAAAAAAAGTCTGATAGATTCAACCAGTCGTCTGTTGGAAAATGGACGAATCAGAATTCCTTTAGGATTTACCATGAAATATATTTCATAACCAGAAGTTTGCTAGACTTCACTACACATCTGGTAAATCCTAAAGGAATTCTGATTCGTCTATTTTCTAACAGACGACTGGTTGAATCTATCAGACTTTTTTTCAGTGTAGTATCAAAACGACAGAAAACCAAAGGCTGTACGAAATTTGATCTTCGATTGGTTTAAATTGTTTTCTGAATGAAAAACTGAAACGTCAAGACACGTTATTCGTAATTACGTGATTAGAGGAATTCCCGTTTTCTCGTCAGAAAACTGCAACAAACACCCTCCGAACCGGCACTGCAACTCAACCGTAGCCTCAGAATCTGCCTATCTGGATAATGCTCGCGAGTCGCGCGCGCTGTAATTGCCCGCTGTAGCTGCCCTCGCTTATTCACCCGACGCTGACAGCGACGGCGAGCGGCCATAATCTCGACCGTATAAAACACGCGAGAGCCACTTGGCGGCCGATCGCGGCCGATACGCCGCGTTTTATCGCGCGCCGATCTGGAAGCGGAGATGGCAATCGCACCGATGGCGGTTTCGCGAAACCGTATCAACCGTGCCCGTGATCGTTACTCGATCCCTCTCGTCGCGCTCGAGTGGCTTATTATTTGCGAGATTTATGGCACCACGGGAAAGGGAATTCGATGTAAGCGTCGATCCGCGCGATATGCGGGAAAGCCATGCTTAGATAGGTAATGAAGGGAAAGACACAAGAAGGATCGTTTCGCAAAAACGACTGAATTGATAATACAAGGAAGCGAAAGAATAAAAAGTGGGGGTGAATTCATGGCGACTTTGTTAAGATTTCGTCAAGTAATTTCATCGCCGAAATCATCGTCCAATTTCTGCCCATTTCGATTCTCACGAGAAGCCAATCGAGCATCAATTCATGATGGCCGCGGAGAACGATCGGATTGAATTAAAATTAATAATTGTACTCTCTGAAAGCCAATCAGTGGATTTTCATTGAAAACAATGAATAGTCACTGATTTACAGTTATAAGTATATCACGATTTTCAGTGGTGCACTTGTAACTGCAAATCAATGACTATTCACTGCTTTCCTCGCTGTTTTCAGAGACGATTCACTGATTGACGTTTAGAGGGTATAGTAAAAATTAATAAATATTTGTCAGCATATCCCGGAGAAAGTAGCAAACGCGCGAGAATCATTTCCACCAACTTCCATATTACGGGAGTATATTAAAGTAAATGAAAGTAAGTTAACGAGCGAGTATACTTTCATTCTAATATCAATTTTTTCTTCGGAGATTATTCTCAAAATTGAACAATCATCAGTTGAAATTGTTACAGGACCTTGCGTCTACAGAAGAGATTTTCAGATCCAATGCTATTACACTTCGATCTATCACAATGTAGGATCGATGTAGCAACAAATATTTATTATTGAATATTTCAATCTTAATGGAAGATTCTTATCTAGAATAAAATGAGATCAGTGCGTGTGTTATAACACATCGGGAGGAAATTTATTCTAGACGCAAGAACATATAATCTTAAATTTATGCACGTCGCCAATCTGTTACCCTTATTTCAATATAGGAAGTCGATCTTGTTTGGCTCGCGAGACGGGAATAGAAATTATTGATTTAATCCTGTTTTATTTTCTTCACTACGCGAGGTTGCGATAAGACAACAAGTGTTCTTAACATATTAAAATTTGTTAACATACGCGAATGTGTAATATTTAAATTACACAAACGTGTAATTAATAAATGTAAGGCGAAAGAAGTACGGCGGAGAGTCCGACCTCGTCGGAATTATACCGGTTTCGATTCCTGACCCAAATCTCGGCTCGCATCATCCGAACAGATTGGCGACGTGCAGTCCCGTCAGCGCGGCGTGATGTAACGCGGCTGTAATTGGGCTGTTACAGGAACGGGAACGCGCCGGCCACGGTCTGCGGTGCGTCGTGAGGTTACTGCTCCTGCTATTGCGGCTCAATGTAAACGACGATAAGTACGCTATGCTTGAAGCCGCGATCGGATTCGAGCCGCAGCTGCGCGACGAGCTCGTAAGTGCTATCGCGACGCGCAATGGCCCATCTCCTCGCTCCAAGTGGCTCAAATATTCACATCCGACCACTACGAGCAGTGCTTTCGACTCGAACGAATTTCACTTGCTTAATGTACAGGGTGTTATGCAATACCCGCCTCACCCCTTATTTACGGATAGAGCGGACTAGCCCATACAGCACAGATGGTTGCAGTTACATTGCAGAAACGTTGCAATCTTGCAGATTGCAGTGCAATCTTGCAGAGACGTTGCAGGGATATAAAATTGCAAACTTTCGATAGCAATATTGCAGCAATGTTTCAAAAATAATAAAAGTACTATATTTTCTATTAAACAAATTTTTCTAATTACGAGAATTTTATGTTATTTTCGTTGACACCAATAATGCGCGAATGATTAAGTACTTGATCAGTGCGGTGTTGCTCGCAATCTCCATCTATTGCGAAGCGACATAATCTCCTTAGGTTGCTTCGCAATAGCTTGCTGTGTATTGAAAAAGGCCCGGATGCATGTGTAATTAGTAAATTCTCTGCTTATGTACAACTACAACAAATTATTCCAAAAATATTGCACCGCAACATTGCTGTAATGTTGCACTGCAATCTCTCTGAGGGCGGACATTTCAACGTTGCTGCAATCCTCCAGAAACGTTGCAGCAATGTTGCGCAACGTTGCTGCAATATTGCAATCTTGCAATGTAACATTTCTGCAATCTTCCTGCAATCTTTCTGTGCTGTGTGGAAGACTGAGCCGAAAAGTCCTTTACCACTTTGCAATTTTCGCAATAATTAACGAGTTATTAATTGTTAAAAATCGCTGTCTTAGCCCGGCCTACCGTCCAATTCAAGCTCGCGGGGAGGTGCGGCCGTCCCGCGATCGGCGTTGCTAGGCGCGCTCGGATTGGGCGATAGGTCGGGCTAAGACAGTGATTTTGAATAATTCATAACTCGTTAACTATTGCGAAAATTGCAAAATGGTAGAGGACTTTTCGACTCATTGTCAGTCTAGTTCGCTCTATCCGTAAATAAGAGGTGAGACGGGTATTACAGAACATCCTGTATAGAAGAAAGTTCTCTATTATGAGATAAACTCCTAACATCATTGTCATTAAATTTTGACGTTGAAAATCTAAAACAATTAGCCATCTAAATTAATCTAACAAGTCGTCTAACAAATTAACCATCTGAAACAATTAGTTTGATCAATTGCACCGTCATTTATAGAGAAAGCTTGGCGTTTATAATCACAATGTTGCTGCTCTCTTTTACTTTCGATAAGCATTCGATCGATCGGTTTCTCAGGACTGGGAAGAGATCGCCGACGTCAGCCTGAGTACTTTTCTACGGTCTACGTCGAGAAAAGGCACGAGTTACCTGGACGCGAAATCCGGGCCGTTAAGCAAGATGACGTCCACCAAAGAATTCGTCAAATTAAAGAAGCGTTTGGTACACGCAGTTGAACGCCTCGACACCTGTCGAGAAGCCGAAATGGTCGAGAACGAACAACAGTTGGAAGCTCGCGATCGCACCTCTTCGTGAAAATCATCCCGTTACCCGACATTGAAATCTCTATCTTCCGCAAATCTCCGAACGTGTCTCTCGAGAGCAGCGAACGTTCGAACTGGAAAGAAGGGAAAGCGGCATAAAGGCCGGACTTGGACCAAGTTCTAGCATCGTGGACACAGGCCTTTAGAAAAGTTCAAGTAAAATTAAAGTTTCCATCGGAATTCAATGGCGACGGATAAAAAAAACTTGTCGTAAAAATGTAACGAGTTCTTGTAACGTTTTGCTGCACAAATTTCTCAACGTGTAACGAAAAAGGGAGAGCGAAACTTCCGAACGCAGAGAGAGAGAGAGAGAGAGAGAGAGAGGGAGGGGGAGGGGAGAGAGAGAGAGAGAGGAGGGAGGGAGAGAGAGAACAGAATCTGAAATCTGTCAGGTGGATTCCCGAGATTCGTCGACATGATCGATCGCCTCGGCATCCTTAATGAGATCTCCGGGAATAATGCCGCGCGTATTGGGCGTATCTTGGGCGCCGTTGCGTGCGCGCGTATCGAATACGCTACGCAGGTGCAGTACACGCGTATTATGCACGGATACGCCGAGTCGGACAGGCGCGGTTTACGTAAGCCTATACACGCGCTGCGGCGCGCCGCGGCGATAATTTTATTCCACCGCCCGCGGCATATTATTGAAATAGGCGAAGTCGAACGGCGTAACGTATAGTTTGAGTGATTCACTAGCTGGCGCCACGATTCCGCTTTTTCGAGGCTAATTAATGGGAAGAATGTACGGGGGAGACGGGAGGGTATGTGTTTAACTCGACGGGACCAATAACAGCCACGCGCTTTGTTCGCGATAATTTTCCTACGAGAGCGTTCTCTGTGTAATGTTATGCAAAGTGCTCGCCCCGCGCAGAATGGAAAGGATCGTAAGAATTTTTCATCCGCGGGCCGCGCGAGCGCACACGCTATTCGATATCCCGCCGCGACAATAAAGAGACACGCAACTTATCGAACGATTACGAGCGTTGTTACGAGCGGAACAACTGTGCGCCTCTCGATTCTTTCGACGATTGTAACCGAGTGAATAAATTCCCGGAATGTGAAATCAATCAATTCTGTCTGAAATATAGCGCCGCGATTGCGGCAGACTGCGGTAACTGTAATGTCGTAGAATGTCCAATTCAAATTTATACTTTCGTCTGTCCATTAAAATCAATATGCAAAGTGGATTCCGGGGTTTATTATTATATTAATTCCCGTCGCGTATCCATAAATACCGCGCGAGCGTGTCTTCTCGATTTAAGGATGATTTACATCGATTACCTTTCTACAAATTTTAATAAAAATTTATTAAGTTCCGTGGTTTTCGAGCGCGTTTCAACTCTCTCGGTGTACTCGCGTCAGGCACCGATTCATACGCGATAGAGACATGTCTCATCTGTCTATTAAAATGAACACACAAGACAGTTTCTGCGTTCATAATTAATTTTCCACGTTCATCGCAAATAGGCGAATATGTTTCTTTTTTAATTTTAATGTCTATCGATTGCTTTTTATTTTTTACAAATTCAAATAAAAGTGATTAAAGCTTAATGGTTTTCGAGTGCATTTAATTACTTCGATACTCGCATCAGAGGCACGCGTGCACCGCGCCGATGCGACGTGAAAGAGCCCCCCTCCCCCGCCCCCTCCCTCTCTCTCTCTCTCGTGGACGCATGCAGATGCGTGCTCCGCTCCGTACACGGCTTCCCACGAGCGTGGAGAAACAAATAATCACGAGGCCCGAGTAACCTTTGCCGAAGTGCTCGGCAAATATTTAGACGGCAGCAACTTTTCCGTTGCGGCCACTGATGTAACAGATTGAAATATTTGTGGGGCCGCAGCTTTGCCGTTCGGATAAACGTCTCGCGGTAACATTGGCGGATAACCGCCGGGTATCAACGCGTAAACAATGCAACAATGTTGCAATGATGTAAGCCTTTACGGGGTGCGATGTTTAATTATATTGGCATACTGTCAATACAAATTGAGCGCAAGGTTGTCCAGAACTACCGACTTTATCTCGCTTTAGCCTCACAGTGGTGGACTTTTCAATGAAACCGAAATTCTTGTCTCGGGAAAAGACGTGGGGGATTATTATTGCTGCGGTTTTTTGATATTCAACATTAAATCTTGACGATTACAGCGTGAATTAGACTTTGTAAAAATCAGAGTTTGGATTTAAATGATGGTTACTGTTGCTTAATTTTTAGTTCCAGCTCAGAAAAACTAAAGCAGAAGAAACTATCGATACTTCGCAATTTAATTAAAAATATTTAAGTTATAATTAGCGAGTCTGTCGTAAAAAATAAAAGTTGTTCTAAAATACTTCATTATTCCTCAGATATTCTTCTTGACTGCGGAGTTTTCTCCATAGCGTTGTATAGCGATATCTTTCACGTAGGAACCGCCTTCGTAAATTTCTCAGGAAATCGAAAGAGATCGCGCGTGTCGAATTTAGCTCGTACCACTAGTTGTTTCACGCGGCAACGCAACAAGGTATGTAGATTAAGAGAGATGCCAACAGAATACTCTTGTGTCTCGGGCGAAACGATCGATCAGTCGATCGCCCGAGGCTCGGAGAAAAAAAAATACGATAAATCGATAAACGAGCGGAATAAATCGGCGACATCTGCAAAGGTGTGGAAAGAAAATTACGGGCTGTACACTACTATATCATTTTGTCGCTGCTTTGCCGGAGGAAATTCAGAAAAAAAAAATCCTGACGGCTGTCTCGTATCTTACCACTCGGCACTGCCATCGCCGTCATCACCGCTTCGGGAAAAGGGATGAGAGTTCGTCGAGGAGGTCAGGGTCCGGCGCATCGTTTTGCCGCATATTTCCAGTTTTCCAAGCGGTGGCACAAATGATGAATCGCGCGTTCCGTTCCTTATTATTATCCGGCTAACGGAGGACGCTGTGACTAACATTCTCGTAAATAGATTACATGCGCAATCGGTCGAGGGTACAAAGATAACAATGCTTTTGCGGGAATTTACGGATCGACTTTTGCGCATGAAATGCTACTAAACGTTTTTATAAGCTTCGCATATGATTTTTCCTTCTCTCGGTTAATTTGATATCGACCTTTCTGTAAAATGCCGACAATGTGTGATTTGATATTAGAATACTGGACTACACAAATAATTCTGAGATTCTTAAATCTACAGTAAAATTTCCACGAGAAGTCCTCGTGAAACTGAGCAAAGAATGCAATTTCGGTAGCTGACAATCTGTGAGATACCTTAAATTACTACGAGCATCCTCGCTATGAAGAAACAATTGACAATTATTTGAACTCTGCGTTGAATCTACAACTCTCAGTATTAAAAAAAAACACGTCAAACACTCCAACCGGTAGCTATGATACTCGATACTTCTACAAAGTATTTGTTGTTATTGAAAACAGAATTCGAATGCCGCACGCATCGCCCTTTGCATTATGCCGCGAATACACGAAGCCTAAGAGGCCGAGAGGCCTGGAGTGACCGACTCGCTTACATCTTTCTATTGCCATCTATTGAAAAAGCCACTTGACTTCCCGCTGGCTTGTGTAAACGCGGCATGGCTCGCACAAACTGCGATGGACACGCAAAAGAATGTTACGGGCGAGTTAGAAGGGCGATAAACGAGACAAATGGGGGAGAGAGAGAGAGAGAGAGAGAGAGAGAGAGAGAGAGAGAGAGAGAGAGAGAGAGAGAGAGAGAGAGAGTGTCCGAGGAACGTACCTGAGAGGAAGTGCTGAAGAAGGTTTCGCGTGTTACGTGTTTGTCACTCGACGCCACATGAGAGATGCGACCTTTCCTCTAACTCGTCGCTACCGACAATCGTCATTCGTTCCTCGAATTAACTTCGACAAAGACTATTCCACTCGGCATAATGAATGACTTCGGGAAAAATAATTCGTGATATTCCTTTTTATACCAGCAACTTTGTGAGAACTTACAAAATTACTTGTTATTGTTGGGCATTTAAAAAGCAAATCCGAATTACAGCGCGGATATTGGGGAAACTACGCGGAATTTTCTCTTAAAAGTTATTTTGAAAATCGTGTAATCGCGGGACAACGTGGCATTTCGAAGAATCTCACGAGAGATTTCTTAAATTTTACCATACATTTTATTAATTTTTTATTAATTGTAAGTGTAATTACTAGTAAAATGTATAAAGTACACAAAACTTTCGACTTGGTCTTAAGACATTTCCAACTTAAGAATCATCGCAAAACAATGTTAAAACACACACAAGCAGCCTAATCCGTAGAATATCTGGTCTGAAATGCTTGCCTCAATGGATTTCCACTCAGCAGGACGAGTTCTACCTCCTTTTTCGAACGAGACTCGAAAATAGTTCAAGAATGTACTGCTCCGACAGCAAGAAAACCGAAAAGATAAGACGCCCCCTTTTGTCTTATGACAAAGGAAAGACATCTTCCCCCCCCGAGTTCATTATAAAAAGATCAATTGAAAGAATACATTTTTTTATCACAATTTCTATTTAACGCATATTTTATTTATTCAAAGTCCTGCGGTTTAAAATATAAAATCCGCTCTAATCTTAACTATTCGCGAATCCCATATAGTTACTCGCACGCGTCTTTCGAATTGGCGTGCACGAACGCTGTATCCAAAATCCGAACCGGGTATACGCAAGTACGAGCGTATTACATATTCGTCAATTGACACGTAATAATTACGGCCGCAACTGGGGCGTAAAAACATACTCGGAGCGAGTGTCCGAGTGAAGAAAAAAAACGGCGGTATGATAACATACGATTAACTCTCTTCTGGTACATTTTATATATCGCTGATTCTGCTTAAATTACAGAGAATTAATAATCCTCCGAGGAGAATGATCGTGGCAGGAAGCAATTTTTTTCAGGCAATTTTCTGCGGCAACAAAAACACGCGGTTTCTCATAACGCCGTCGTTTAAATGAAACTTTTAAATCCCCGCGCGCAATAAGGCATTACTACGATTCAGCGTTCTCTCGCGAGATAAGTGGCGCAATTTCAGGGGGCCTCGTAAATAAGCGATTTTTGCCGACGCAAAAAGGCGCATCGCGCGCGCGCGCGGCGACGGTTCGCCTATCGGGGTCTTTAAACGCTATTAAATTCCGAACGAGAGCGTGCGAGCGAGCGAACGGCCCTTCGTCT